TTGCTTCCACAACAAAACTAAATCTTAATGCATGAAATTTCAGCACTATTTAACCTTTGGAATTTTGGGAAGTAAATTCTAGACGTGCAAGGGTGATCAACTAGTCAAAACAAATGAGATGTGCTAGCTCATTGCATCCTGAGTGAAAAAATGCCTAATTAAAATCATTCATATGACATTAGCTTTGGAAATAAAAAAAAATGTCTAACTTTAGTATTTTCTATAATAATTAATTGCTAAAAGGTGCAATAAATACATTCTTAATATAATTTTGGATAAAATTTTAAAATATTATGTAAATAAAATTTTAATTTTATTTTATGATCAATAAAATTACTCAACAAAAACTACATATAAAAAAAAAAAGAAAATTTTTAATTATTATTTTTAAAGCTAAAATTAATGTCTAAAAGTAAAAAGAATAGCACAATTAAAGCTCAACAGAGAGAATAATTGTTAATACTTAATTTTTATTTTTTATTCCTGACTTGAGAGAATTAATAGGAAATAAAATGAAAGGAATATACCACTCTTCTTCTTTTGTGTTTTTTCTTTTGTTGTTCAAGAAAAATTAATTAATTCTTTAAAATGTTAGAGTCCTTACTTTTTAAAATCTTTTTATTTTTTTGAATCCCCAATATTATTTAAAGGTATATTTTTTATGGGAGTGAATAAATTAGATTAAGTATATTGTAAGAACGTTAATTGAAGATTTTCTTTTTCTATATGTAATTCTTGTCTAATATTAATTTTGTATAATAAAATTTTTTAATTATTATTTACGATATTATGTTAAATTTTTATTTAAATTTATTATTTTAAGCCAAAAAATAAAATAATCTTTTTAATATATCCTAAGGACACATGTTAAAAATGTAATTAATATATTTTATGACATTAATTGGTATTAAAAATGATAAAAAGTTGACATTAATTTGGTTACTAATGCCATATGGAGTATTTGAATTGGATAATTGATTAAATAAAATTGACAATGCTATAATCACAATCCTATGTAAGATCGTAAACTTACAATTATAACATATCATTAAATAAAAGTTACGTATAATTAATTAAATAAATGTACACAATATTATGTGTAGGCCCTTAAGTGAAATTAGTCAATTATATAATAATACATTATATTTATACTTACAATACCATTCAACATTATAACCACATCACTTTTGTAAACAAAGGTCAATTTTTATTTTTTTTAATACCAATTAATGTTAAAAAGATATCTTTAATCTATGCCCTTAAAAGCATATTATTAAAAAATCTAAAATTAAATTAAAAAATGATATGTATGATTTATATGAATAAAATTTTCAATTTAATGATAAATTTTTTTAAATATTAATTAGAAGATGGATTTTTAGATAGGTCCTCCAAAAAAAACTTTTGAGAGGATGACCTATCCTAC